TAGCTATGGTTAATTTTGTTGCTAATAATATATGAATTATTAAAAAAATATATATTTTTCCATCTTTTGCCAGCCTAGATATAGAAGTGCGGCAGTAGGAATGTGAGATGGTTTAATTGGGGTCCAATATTCAGTCCATTTTAAAATGTTTTTCCACATCTATTGTATTTTTGGTCATGACCACCATATGTAGATATAGTTAGCACTCGTGGCTTCACATCTCCAGCATGTTGGCAGAATAGTTGGAAAGATTTTTGATAGTTTTAACGGATCAGATTTGTTCATTTATCTTGTGTCTCTATTAATGGATAGCATATTTTGTTTGTTTCAGTATTTGTGACCATTCTTTAACATTTATATTAGTTTGTAGTTCTTTATCCCATTTATTATCTATTATATTTAGCAAATATGTTTTTGTGAGGTCTGAAAAAAAATTAAAAAAAATTAAATGTTGAAATCAACACATCTGTCCAGGAAATGGGTGCTTTTATCTCTGCTCCATGTCAATCATCATCCCAAAGGTTGTCCTTTTCTACCTTTGAACATAGTTAATGGAAGGAGAGGAATCAAAACAATGTATCTATTCTTCTCCACCTTATTTTGTGTTGTGCCCTAGGCATGCCTGGACTGAACTGGATTGTGATGTCACATGCTAAATATTTAACACATGTCAAATGAAAATGGAGCAGCACATGAAAAAAAGCTTAGAACACTATTTAACATTTTATTAGTACTGAAGTTTCTAGAGAAGTGACAGTTCCTCTCTACAGGACCACTGCAGTCACAGAGACCACTTCACACATCTCAATTAAGTGGTCTTGGTGCACTCATCCAGTCATTTTAGCCCTGCAATGTAAACAGTGTTTAATACACCTTTAGTGGCTGTCTTCCTTCCTCCTTCAGAATAGAGTAAAACTTGGCCCTGGAATTAAATATGGCTGATAGCAGGATGATTGGAGGATTGCCATGCATGTGTATCTCTAATCCATAGGAGCAATGGGTTGGAAGAGATCAGGGATGACATCAGCAGGCATGCTGACATAGATCGAGCAAGCAGCTGCAGCAGATGAGTCCTGACAATCGAAAGAGTGGTGGACAGAAGGAAACTTATAGTCCCAAAGAAAGTATTGTTATTTTGGGAACTATTGGTTTCCTTTAAGTTAATCACTAAATGTCATTGAGGTTTACTGGGAATAAAAATAACATTTATTGAAAACCTTTCTTTACCACATGGGGATGGGTAGCAGATAAGATAGTTACAGGACCAGTGGATACTCCGTCCCTTGGGTCTAATCCTTCTAACAATACATACAGAAATCCACCCATCTACAATCCTTCTCCCGAAGTGTAAATGTATAGTATAGGGGCTCATGTGCTCATACCTATATACACATTGTATTATTGTAATTTAAATGTTGGTGTAATATCACAAATAGTAGGGATGTATTGCTGTTTATGGATTTAATGCTCTTGTCATCTATAAACATATCCTGGAAACAAAAATACAAATACATTAAAAGTCAGGCCTGAGAAAAGCTAAAAAATATTGTGGATATCTTTCCTGTTTTCTGAGTGTTGGGATTTCTTTCCTACTCCATGCCCCCCAGCATTCTCTGTGATGCTGCACGCTCGGGAGCCACGGGTCTTTAGGTGGCCTCATTCTGGAGTTAAAGGTGACTGTGGCAAACCTAGCCACTTGGACATTATTTAAGTACTATCGCTTTAAGGGTTGACTGTATGATTTTCGTGATATGTGTGTTCCTGAGTGTAATGTAATGTGATTGTGTAACACTGTATTGCCTGCATTAGCTATCTGCCGAAAGCAGATAGTTGGTTTCCTTTCATTTCACGAACGGCACCTTTGCGGGCCGTTCGTGAACCGAATGAACTATCTTTTAATAGCCCACACACTAAGAGACGTGTGGCGCTTGTTAACCAATTGCAACAATGTTGCTATCAGTAATTAGAGGCTCTCCTAGGTGGCCGTCGTTCGACTACCGACCATGCGGCGGTCGGCCATCTTGGATCCTTTGTTCCCTCAGTGGTGTTTGGTCGTCGAGCGCGTAGTATTAAAAATGGCTACTCGACGGCGCGAACACCGCTGAACTTCCAGGCCGTTCGGGAGCTCCGGGCCGTACGCTATTTTATTCCCTATACTTCAATATGTCTTTTGAATGTGTGTTTTAATGAATGTGTTTTTCGTGTGGCGTTCGGTTGTTTTAGCTGGGATCTGAGCGGTAATCTCACGAATGATGCGCTCAGACCCCAGCTATCTACCGAACGTCCATTCGTGCAAATAGACCAAATAGTCGAAAAACTGTACATTTTAAAGTAAATTGCCGGTTCTGTTGCACGGAGGGATAATCCACTTAATGACTCATTCCAGTGGGAGGATCCCTCTCGTGCAGCAGTGCCTGATGGGGGAAAGGCTCTGTAATGTAAATTCCCCACGTAGTCCATCCCTGGAATACCCCTGGGATAGGACTCAGGAAACCCCTTGCATGGATAATTGTATAAATTGTGGCGCCTGTGAATAAAGACCTCAGTTGACTCTCAGAACTGTGTTTCGTCCGGTTACTGGAAGATTTGGGATATTGCCTTGCTTTTCAGTGCTTGACTGTGGATTACCTTCTGAACCAGTGGAGATCGTGGGATTTAATATTGCCGCTCCGCTACAGTGACTTTGCAGAACCAAATGCGACCTCAAAAAATGATGTATGCTATCCTAAACAGGGGTTCTATTGCCCACAAATCATGCGTAACTCAAGTATGACTTGGGCCAATAGGAATTAAGTTTTTCATACAAATACTCCCTTCTCCCATTCCAAGTTGTCTGTTGTGGTGCGTTCCTTGTTTCTCAAATTTATGGCTTCTGACTAGAGTTGAGCGAACCCGAACTGTAAAGTTCAGGTTCATACCGAACATTACGGTTTTTGGACCACGGATCCGAAAATGGACATATGACTGTACGTTCGGGTTGGAGTTCGGTGTTCAGCGATTTAATGGCGCGTTTTCAAAGGCTGCAGGGCAGTCAATCAACAAGCGTTTGACTTGTGTGCCCTTAGAAGCCATCACTGTGATTGACCAGTGCAGCATGTGACCCAGCCTCTATATATAAGCTGGAGTCGCATACTGCCGCACGCACATGAGATCTTATTAGTGTAGGGAGAGGATGCTGCCGCTGATAGGGACAGCTTAGGAAAGAATTCTGCAAACTTGTACATTAGTGGGGTGCACTTCATATCTGAGAGTCAAATCGAGGCGTCTAATAGTGTGCTTACAGCGCAGTGGTAAACATTCTTATTTTCGGGGTACTAATCTGCTAAATAGTACATCTGCTCTTCATATCTATAAGTCATGCTACAACAAAATTAAACAAGTTTTAAAATATATATGGGCAAACCAGTGGCTGTAAACAGTTTTACTGGTTACATTCATGACTACACACTCTAGTGAACAGGACCTTCATGTAGTGTGTTGGGTTTTTTTTGTTTGTTTTTTTATTATTTTTTTATCATACAGCATCCTTTAATGTGCTTTTCAGATGTCATATTGTTAATAACCAATTTTTGTTTAGCCTGATTTTTGTTTTTTAAAGTGAAAAATAAGTGTTATTGAGATCGCTTCATATACAGAAGCATTAATATACATTTCTACATTGTGTAAAGACACAACTACAAAGTTAAAAACCAAACACCAAAACAACGTGCCAGACAATCTACCTGTGCATGGCTTGTGTGATACAATAAGTATATATCTTAAAAAACACAATAACCCACAGAAGATGGGAGAGAATTTTTTTTGCAAATGAAACTTTGATTCAAATTTACTACATCGGTCACTTGTAATATTGTTTCACACCTTCAACACTTGTTACACAGATCTAAGTGATAGAAAACAGATTGATGTTTTCTACACTAGAAACTACCAGATAACAAGCTGCTATATTTAAACCAGTTATCAATAGCTAAGAGGTACTTCAACAATATTGTAATTCTGGGGCAATACCCTCACAAGTCAAACTGAGAGGTCAGTTTATAGGGAAAACTGTTGCCTGAATACAATTTCCATATGTCCTTTTCAGAGTTTACATGCTGGAACAATACAGGTGCCAACTGCTGTGGCTTTTTGCAGTGTGCATACCGGTAAGGAGGGCAGGGTTGAGGAGTGGGTGGAAGATGATGTGGAGGATGATGAGGTCCTAAACCCCACATGGAATCAAGGTCAAGCGAGTGACTTGTGCAGTTTGGAGGAAGAGGTGCTGGTCACACAGAGGCACCAGCACAGCATAAGAGGGAGCAGGGTGCAAAAGCGGAGCGGCCGTCCCCTAGCGCTCGTCTGCATGTATTAGCTCGAGAATTACCAGTTATCCAAGTAATACATTTAGCGATCAAAGGATCCATAATAGAGCATAATAGAGTTCGTACCAGATTTAACGATCCATTCATAGTTTCACAGTCAGGGGGGCAGTCCGGTGACCGGGACCCAGACACTGTCTGGGAGGCGGTCAGACGACCGGGACCCAGTATGCCTGATGTTGAAGTTAAGAGTCACAGTGTGGAATGGATTAGCAGGGTCTGGTGCAGGGTAACCGCACTCCCCCTGGTGTTGAGCACCAGCGTTTGTGTGGCCACATACCATGACCCTGATGCAGCTTTAGTAAAAAGAGTACAGGATACCAGAAGCCATCACCAGACTGATCCGCAACTTGGAACAGGATGTGACATTCACTGTAGCGGCTGTGCGCGCTTTTGGCGTTCTCACCCTGCTGCTGCTCGCCTGTCTGCGCTGCAGCATAACTTTGTCTTTTCCTGCTCACCGCCTCATGAGACTGTGAGAGCAGCAGCAGGCGATAGTGGAGTTTCAGCTGCAGCATGCGCGGGTCAGTGGCTCTGCACCAGACTTCCCTCCAATTGATCAGAGTTAAAGGATCTAAAGAATCCTGTATTGTTATTTGTCGTCACTACCTTCCCGCCTCGGGTCATTTGCGCACCTGCTGCCTTCCTTGCATATGGTAGCCGTTTCTCTGGGTCCCTGCATGGAATGGAACCCTGATTTCCCCATTACCCATGGTCACCATGGTATGCGCAGAAACTGGCATCGAAAGTTGATATGAATGACATCCAAATGCAAAGTCTCCGTCATGGGGATGTGCGATTGGCCCGAGGTTCTCTAGAGTCAACAAAGTGCCTGCAAAAGTTTTTTTTTTTTATTCTATGTCCCAATATTTTGGGGTCTATCACAATTAAAAAAATTAAACATAAAAAACAGTGTTGGCAACCTCATCCTCCTCCTCCTCCACCGCTGCTTCCACCTATACCACCATGGTCACTGCCTCTTCAACCTATGGGTCACTTAGTATAAACTATGTACTCATTAGCAGAGGCTTGTGAAGGCCTTTTTTCCATGCATCAGGAGTTGAGCTCAGTTCGAACAATGAAAGAGAATACCCTGCACTCCAACCCTCTCTCAAATGGATAATCGTGGCAATCCTCCTGACAGCCATGATTTAGATTTTCCTTTATGTTCTTCCAAAGCTAAAATCAAAGATTCCATCTAGTGCTATTTTTATGGCTCAGCTGTATTTTTAATTTTTATGTTCTTTTAAGTGATTTCCCTATCCACATTTGTTTGCAGGGCACTTGCCCCCATTTTACTTCCTTTTGCAGCCCTCTAGCCCTTTCCAGGAGTTTTTTAGAGGCATTTTTGTGCCCAAAAGTTCGGGTCCCCATTGACTTCAATGGGGCTCGGGGTCAAGTTCGAGCCTGAACCCGGAATTTTTTTTTTTTTTTCAAAGTTCGTCCAAACCCGCTGGACCCGAACATCCAGGTGTCTGCTCAACTTTACTTTTGACTGTTGGTCATTCTCTTGTTTATTCTAATCTCTGGTATCCTTTGACTTTGGCTTAGTAATTAAGGTGATGATATAACATCGGGGCGTCATAGAAACATAGAAACATAGAAACATAGAATGTGACGACAGATAAGAACCATTCGGCCCATCTAGTCTGCCCAATTTTCTAAATACTTTCATTAGTCCCTAGTCTTATCTTATAGTTAGGATAGCCTTATGCCTATCCCACGCATGCTTAAACTCCTTTACTGTGTTAACCTCTACCACTTCAGCTGGAAGGCTATTCCATGCATCCACTACCCTCTCAGTAAAGTAATACTTCCTGATATTATTTTTAAACCTTTGTCCCTCTAATTTAAGACTATGTCCTCTTGTTGTGGTAGTTTTTCTTCTTTTAAATATAGTCTCCTCCTTTACTGTGTTGATTCCCTTTATATATTTAAATGTTTCTATCATATCCCCCCTGTCTCGTCTTTCCTCCAAGCTATACATGTTAAGATCCTTTAACCTTTCCTGGTAAATTTTATCCCGCAATCCATGAACCAGTTTAGTAGCCCTTCTCTGAACCCTCTCTAAGGTATCAATATCCTTCTGAAGATACGGTCTCCAGTACTGTGTACAATACTCCAAGTGAGGTCTCACCAGTGTTCTGTACAATGGCATGAGCACTTCCCTCTTTCTACTGCTAATACCTCTCCCTATACAACCAAGCATTCTGCTAGCATTTCCTGCTGCTCTATTACATTGTCTGCCTACCTTTAAGTCATCAGAAATAATCACCCCTAAATCCCTTTCCTCATATGTTGAGGTTAGGACTCTATCAAATATTCTGTACTCTGCCCTTGGGTTTTTACGCCCAAGATGCATTATCTTGCACTTATCCACATTAAATGTCAGTTGCCACAATTCTGACCATTTTTCTAGTTTACCTAAATCATTTGTCATTTGGCTTATCCCTCCTGGAACATCAACCCTGTTACATATCTTAGATTCATCAGCAAAAAGACATACCTTGCCATCAAGACCTTCTGCAATATCACTAATAAAAATATTAAAGAGAATGGGTCCAAGTACAGATCCCTGAGGTACCCCACTGGTGACAAGTCCAAGCTTCGAATATATTCCATTAACTACAACCCTCTGTTGCCTGTCACTCAACCACTGCCTTACCCATTCAACAATATTTGAATCCAAACTTAAAGAATGCAGTTTAATGGTAAGCCTTCTATGTGCAACAGTGTCAAAAGCCTTACTGAAATCTAGGTAAGCAATGTCTACTGCACCACCCTGATCTATAATTTTAGTTACCCAATCAAAAAAATCAATAAGATTAGTTTGGCATGATCTCCCTGAAGTAAACCCATGTTGTCTCTGATCTTGAAATCCATGTGTTTTTAGATGTTCAGCAATCCTATCCTTTAACATGGTTTCCATCACTTTCCCCACTACTGAAGTAAGGCTTACTGGCCTATAGTTGCCCGACTCCTCCCTATTACCTTTCTTGTAAATGGGCACAACATTCGCTAACTTCCAATCTTCTGGGACTACTCCTGTTAACAATGATTGGTTAAATAAATCTGTTAATGGTTTTGCTAGTATTAACAGATTTGCGGAGTGCTATGGCGACTTCACCACGCTGAACTATTGGAACGCCACAGCCCCCATGTGAAATACTCTGCCTAATGCAAACCAGAAGCCCGAGAAACTAAGGACCAAGATTCTATCGGTACACACAGAAATCTAGATAAGGGCGGATTTGTTCTCCGGTCTTTAAGCTACAGTCCGTGACTGTGTCGAGGGAATTCCGTTATGATCCTTTACCCCTATGAGGGTCAATTCTCTCATCACTGGTCTACCTCGGATTCGATACAATCAGTGCCAAATATCTGATATTTCCATACAAGCCGCAATAAAGAGAGGAAGTTTGACTCCTGTCGTGGCCTAAGAATCTCATCTCCAATATCCGACATTGTCTACTTTTCATGAATAGGAGACAGATATACAAGATAAGTGTTTTATCGCTTGCTATAATAATAATCTCCATCTTTACTTTTCTTTTTTTTTATTTTATAAGCCTATAGAGTATATTGGTGCTCAATTTTGAGACATATCTGTATATATTAAGGGGGAGACCGAAATAGCAAAAAGTAAAATTCTTGGTATACCAGCAAATATTTTAGACTGCAAATTGGTAACGCTAGCCCACTAGCTTAACATCAATTGCTGAAGCTGAGAGAAAGGAGTTAATTAAATAACCCCAATATGGCAACAAGAAAAGCCCAGGCTACTAACTCTACTGGGAAAAAGGACAAAAAGGACTTGGTTCAAGACAAATCAATGTCCATATATTTCTCTCCACAACAACAGAAGGACAAGATTAAAAATAACAAACAAAATATGGAAGAGTCATTTGTCACCACGGGAAGTACTGTTAATGAAGATGCCAATAAAGAGCTGATTACTGTTTCTCAATTACAGGCTAGTTTCAGTGAAAATCTGGCTGAAATTAAGAATATCTTGATGATAAATACAATTGAAATTAAAAACGAAATTAAACAAGAAATATTTCAACTAACGGTCAAAATTCAGAATTTTTTGAGGAACAAATCTCGACATTGGACTTCCATGTCAATACCCTTAAAGATAATAAAAACGACATCAAAAGATACAAAAACTTGAGCTCAAAATATACGAATTGGAAGACCGCAGTAGACGGAATAATCTACGGTTTAGAAATTTTGAGGAAAAAGGCACGCAGGAAAATTTAATACCGATTTTACATCAATATTTCCTATCGCTAAATATCCCTATCAAAGAACAAGATCAACCAATAAAACGATGTCACAGGTTGTTTAAACCTCAAGCACTCCAAGCAGATCTACCTAGAGACATCATTGTTTTTTTTCTCTTCCGAATTTAAAGACACAGTTCTATGTCTTGTAAGATTAAATCCGATAACAACAGGTCAATTCCAAAAAATTCAGGTTTTTCAGAACTTATGATACCACACAAGAATGAAAAGAAGAACTTTTAGCACTTCTACTCAAATTCTCAGAACTCATGATATCAGATATAAATGGTTATTTCCCTTAAAAATCAGTGTTACCTTTGCGGGCAGGAGGGAGACCTTTGATTCTAACGAAAAATTATCACAATGGTTAAAGGAACACTGTAGTCACCTAAATTACTTTAGCTTAATAAAGCAGTTTTAGTGTATAGATCATTCCCCTGCAATTTCACTGTCATTTAGGAGTTAAATCAGTTTGTTTCTGTTTATGCAGCCCTAGCCACACCTCCCCTGGCTATGATTGACAGAGCCTGCATGAAAAAAAAAACTGGTTTCACTTTCAAACAGATGTAGTTTACCTTAAACTAGAAAAGCTACAATTTCTGGGGAAATTGTGTGAAGTGTTCTTGCCTCCACTAGTAGTCTACAACTGGAATGGGCGAGGTAACTGTTATCATTTATATAGCACATTTAATTGCAACGTTGTTGCACATTTACATTAACCCATACATTTATAAAAAACATTAGCAGGTGTTCAAAAGGCCTTGTCTATGACATCACTTGCTGCTGCAGCCTTGACAGGTCAGAGTATTTTGGTGGTTGCCATCTTCAAACGGTCGTATTTTAAAAACTATAAATACTACAGTGGGAATCACAAGACCCAGACCTACATTTTGATGCATAGTATGTCTCTGAAGTATTAAAAATGAAGGCACAGTCGCAGTTTAGAAATTGCACTTCAAATTTGAGCTTTGAAGAGTGAAGTTTCAATGAATGTCAATGGACGGCGTTAGTTGCAAACAAATGATTATATTGTGAAAACTATCAGGACTATGGCTTAGCCGTTGACATATCTAGTGGCAGCAGGGATAGCTGAACGTTTTGATACAAGATTTGTGTAGGTGGGCCTGAAAATAAGGGAGTGGTGGCAGTTTAGAAATCATGTCCTGATTTTTCAGCTTTTGCCAGCTCCCACTCTAGCTTTGCCATTCATTCCTATGGGACAAATTGCGCCACAAAAACGACGATATTCCGTGAACCATTCGGCGAAACGTTCCACAAAGTAATAGCAATCCGATCGGGAACAATCTGCACGTTTTGGTAAATTTTGTCTATGTAGTGTAAAAACTGTGGGAGGAGTTAGGGTGGCAAATTTGGCTATAATAAGAATAAGAATAAGAACTAGAAAAGCTACAATTTCTGGTGAAATTGTGTGAAGTGTTCTTGCCTCCACCAGTAGTCTACAACTGGAGTGGGCGGAGTAACTGTTATCATTTATATAGCACATTTAATTGCAACGTTGTTGCACAGTTATATTAAACCATACATTTATAAAAACATTAGCAGTAGTGATGTCGCGAACCCAAAATTTTCGGTTCGCGAACGGCGAACGCGAACTTCCGCAAATGTTCGCGAACCGGCGAACCGCCCGAAACGCCATTGACTTCAATGGGGAGGCGAATTTTAAAACACACAGGGACTCTTTCTGGCTACAATAGGGATGGA